AAAAAAAAGTGTCCTCATTTCGCTCTATCTAGCAGAACTTTTTGGGAAAAATGGCTCGTTTTCTTCTCTGATTTCTTTTCACTAAAGGCGTATTTTTTCATCTTCCAGCATGGACTGTCACGAGCGTGTTGTAATCACGTGAAACTGCTTCCAGTGAGACACTAACTTTTGAAGAAGTTTTGATTTCCGTACCCGTCTGGATAAAGTCGCATTATTTTCTCACGATACAGCGCTTATCTCGGTCGGATAGTAATCAGGGTTCTTCTTAGAATCAAATCCTGCAGCATCCTCGAGAAACTTGTTCGTTATGAGGTCACACCTGCAAATTCCAGCGTGAGCTGACCCATCGGCAATTCCTGCATCTCTTTTGCTACGGGTTTTCCTTTTACGGAAGTTCGACAGCGGTTTTGCCTTTGCTTTAGGCTAAGGGACTTGAGGGGTAATAATTTTAAAATTTGATTGGGTAAAAGCAGAATGCAGCAGAGAAACATGTGGTGGAGCTATGATTTTGCGTCATAAGCAAGTGGGGTATTTTTGAAAAAATGAGGATAAAAAAATTTTGCTTTCTCAAACTGGAGTTCCGTGATAATATTCACATTCGCATTTCGCATGCGTCACAATTTGTCTGCAGAGCCCTTTTCAAAAACATCTCCAGATTCTAGTTTTCGGGAAATTTGTGGGTGGAAATAAGATTATGCGTCGCAGTGTATAGTAGATAAGCGGTGTATTTACCATAGATAGAACAGCACTCACAATCAGGATGATAACGGTCGAGAAAATCATACATCTTGCTCTGTTCTGAGTGAGAATAGTGTCGAGACTGAATGTACGCGCGAGGAGGGTGTTTAAACGAGCGAAAACCTCGACGAGTTGTCGACAGCTCCTTGACCGATTTCCACCCTGCTCACAAGTGTTTGCCTATAACAGCATACTTGTAATGTAAATCGTATCGGCTCTACGGCTTATATTGTACTTACCAAAACCAAAGAAGTGGGTATGAATGTGTTGTTACCTCAGATAATCCTCTATACATTCACCAAGGAGCTATCCTTTAGCCAGGTCTACATCTGTTTCTTTCCAGCATTGTTTCGTATTACATGCTATTAGGACGACGTCCCGGCGCCTAGCAGCACTGCGTTGTGAGAAAGGTAAGATGTGAGCTTCACGAGAATAAACAACTATCCAGCTCGTTGCTAGGGTGGTAGGTGGCCAGAACGTACCGTTAATGGATTTTTCATCCCTGTGAAGCCTGTTAACCGATCCACGCTAAAACTACACTGGTGTACAAAGCCTGAGAGCGAAGTGGATAAAATAGCATAACTTATCAATAACTTGGGAATTGGATGAAACTGCGAGAGCATGGTGCCAGAGGTCTTACTGTCGTGCCCAACAAAGTGGGCCTCATATATCACAACTGCTCATATCAGACTGCTCCAACCTGGAGCAAAAAGAGAGTTGCCCATGCATGGGGGTTCGGTAGAACAGGACAAGAGGGAGCGTTTGCACTGACAAAGGAAGATGTAATGGTGTTTTGATTACAGCAAATCTCGAAGACAGCACTAGCCTGACTTCACGAAGAATCACCGGGAAACTGTAAGAAGGAAGATGCATTACGAGTGTGGTCCAGGAGATTAGTGTTGCTCACAGCATTGGGAGCGATATGAAGCACAGCCACTGCTGCCCTTAGAGGAATAGATGGTGGATCATGAACAACCACGACAGTAGGCGATTGCTACGTTTTGCAACAGGCAAGAATTGACATTCGTCAGTCACAGGCTGCAGTTGCAAAAACACGGGTTTTTAAGGCAGCTAACGTAATCCTAGCTTGAACAGTGGCACAGTGACCACATAAGGCCACATGGCCTCTCTGCCTGACTAACAGTACCTGTTGTTCCATTGAAACCAGCGCATCGTTAGAAACATTTGCTAGGTTCCAAGATATTGGAAATGAGCCACCAATTTCGGGAACGCCCGCTTCTCTCAGTTTAGAGCAAATTGAGTGTGGGTAATGATTCTAACTTATGGATATATGGCGAGAATGAAAACATGTAATGCACCCGAGACCACCGTTGAACATGATTGTTTTGATAGTTTAATCGATATGGTGGGGGAGGCATAAACTTGCGGGGGCGTACCAACTTTCCAACTCGTGATCGCGGAATAATTTCTAATCGACGTTACTGTGATGCTGGACTCATCTCTTATGCGTTTCTTTTCAGCAGTGCATTTGATCCCGATTTTGTTAGTATGGAGGACAATGTGCGTGCACATCGAGCAGCCTGGGCGGAAAACTCTTGAAACATTAGGATCTTCGGCGGTCAGTTGAGCCTGCCCGCTTCCCCCGCTCATTCCCCACGGAGGACGTGTGGAATGCATTTAGAAGAGCTTTTGTAGCGCACCCTCATGCGCCAATAACGCTCAGCAATTGTCAATCAGGATGTTCGAGGGAATGAACGTTCTCTACAAGAACTCTTAAAAAAACATTGCGCTCGTTGGGAGCACGTATAGAGCAAGCTTCGCAGTCTGCAGTGTTCATATACCTCCCCTTCAGAAGGTTTGCTACGAGTTGGGGTTTCAGCCATCAACCGCTTCAGTTATTATCTTTATAGTGTCTTATCCAATCGTTCTATTGCGTGTTTCTAGCAGTAACCCTCTGCACTTTGATGTAACATTCCCTTCTATGTGTGCCTCAAGCTTCATAGACCTATTAGGTTGTCTCATAAGTAGTGTCGCTTTTTTTCAAACGTAAAGTTTTCTCTTTAATCCTTAGGCTTTCACACCATATTATACACCATTCGAAGAGAATCGTCTGCTCTTCAAGATTGTACCGTTGTCTCTTCCACCCTCTGTTCCAGGGTTTTCAAATTTTAGGTCTGCGAAATGGGAGGTCCAGCAGACAAAAATTGACCAAACGACAACTAGCTGTAATTTATTTTCGCCTGGGGAGAAATCAATCAATGATGTACTTCTACTTACCATGACCTCTTCTAACATTCACTTCTTAGGATTGTCAAAAAAAAACTTCCCTTGTTTTCTTTTTCGAATTGGCTGACCGATGAGACATAGCAATTTTCAAATTAAACTGTTTCCTCGTAAACGCCATTGTTTCATACAAGTGGTGTTCCTTTTAGGAGCACTTCTTCTGCTCTCATCCCCTGATTTGTTTATTTTTATGGTTGTTGGGAATTAGTTCGACTTTTAGGTGTTTAGCAATAAGGTGTTCTATCCGCGAAAGTGACGCTTTTTGAAAAAAATTATCCCTGAGAAGACGAGAAAATCAACCACACGTACATCCCCAACTTAGTCACAACTTCTTCTTGAAATTCTACTAATTTTTCAATGTCTCGGTTATAAAAAAAATTTTGTCCTAGATCTCAGCTAATGGTGCTCGACCGTCGAGTTCTTGTTGAAAAACCAGGTCTGGAAAAGTAGCGACGCCACTTCTTATGGACCTAATAGTCGAATGTTAAGAAGAGATCATGTGTAAGGAGAGGGTTCATCACCTATTGATTTCTCCCAAGGGAAGATAAAGTTAGAGATAGTTGTCGGTTTGGTCAATTTTTGTCGGCTGGACCTCCCATTCCGCAGGCCTAAAAATTCAAAACTGTGGAACATAGGTAAAAGAAAAACATAACATCTTGTAGAGCAGACGATTCTCTTTCGAATGGTATATAACACGATGTAAAAGCATCAGGATTCAGGTGAAATTTTTTGGTTTAAAAAAAGCGACACTACTTATGAGACAACCTAATACTTTGGCTAGCAGTGTGACATCATACGCCTTCATACTCCCGCCTTTAAAAGCAGCGATTACGAAAAATTTGAGAAGAGCTCATTGTAAGATGGTGGTGATCCATGGTACGCCAGTGGTGGAAAAAGCGGAAAAATTCGTTAAGCAAACGCAATGCGGTGCCCCTTTTTTGGCCGTTGGTTTTCAATCATCAACAAATATGTAGCAGCTCAGAAAGTAGAGTTATGAACGAGCACCGCAACACGTTTGATGGCACCATTGCCAAATACCTTATTCGATATGCTCCATTTGCGCCGCTGCTAGCCACGCAGCTCATCCAAATCAACAAGTAAACTTGTTGGCGGATTGCTCTTGGAGGTGAGTGCTTTCGAAATCCTACTCAGCAACCAGCGCACCTTCCATTGCATAAGCCCTACACTCGTCTCCTTGCCAGCCAAGTAACTGCTTCGTGTGGTGCATATGGTTCCCCGATGCGCGCCCTCTTTATCGTGATTGCAGCTTTTAAGTTTTGCACACCAGTGTACGTGATGTGGTCGGCGTCGTCATTTCTCCCCCACCATTTTTAGCACCAATGCTCGAATAAATGGCCTAGAGAAAGACAGTCACAAAAATAACAGCGATGAGTCAAAGAATTGTTGACCAATTTGCAGGATATTACTGTAAGGTGGAAAGATCCAATCCCTTCCCTCTTCAGCTTCTTCCACGAAACTGGTACTGAAAGGCATCGATAGGCTTTCGTTGACTCCTGCTTTGTGGTTACAATTTTGAGTTTGCTATTGTGCAATGCAGACGTATACATACAAATCTTCATTATTAAAATAGATTATAAAAAATTTGTGTAAAGCCTTATAACATGCGCGCAGTATGCACATGACGTTCGCCAAGAAAAAAATAAAAGAACCTTCTATTTAGACGATATGTTGTGTTGAATCAAACATTACAGACATCACTTCCGTTACGAACACAGATACTCGGCATACCTACAGTATGACACTCGTAACTGTAAGTGTCGATTATATTTGTATGTAGATACAATTTGATCTAATCGAATAACTACAATCATGTGGAAATACTTAATTTGCTATAAATAAAAAATAAGCTCAACTTTATACAATTTGGTTACTTATTTATGCATATCACAATGATACCCACAACAATATGATAAGAGTGCATGTTTAACACGGGGAGGAGGAGCAATTCTTATAGAATTTATTGCTAATTTTCATACTCCATCTTTCTCCCTATTTCTCTATCGAGGCACAACCGTAACCGTCGGTGCAGTCGTCGTCGTGACGGCCACTGCTGCAGCGTTAGCACGATGTAACTCGGTGGATCCAACTGACTCGAAACTTTCACCGGATGCGTCGCTGACATTACGCTAAAAAGTTTACAAATTAGACCTGAAGAAGTACACCGAGGCTAAAGCATTTTTCAGCGCTAATACATACTCTCTGTGAGCCGAAGGCATCTTTCATGATCAGGTCATTGGAACCATCCACTCCGTGAGTAAGATTGATGGTCTCGTAACCACAAACATGGGGCCAATCTCGCGACTGAAAACGTGTGGCAAGTGCCCCAGAGACCATCCACACACCTCACGCATATGCAGTAGCGGTCAAATGTGTTCGTCGAAACGATGCATTATTTTTTCTCGCTTGAGCAAAGCCCTCCAAAAATTGATATACTATGTATTCTAGTGTTTTCCTATCCTCAAGCCTTGAAGAATCAGGATGTTCAAAAGAAAAAATTTCCGGGGTCACCACTGATCTTTTTTGGCAAAAAAAGAGAAGCACGGAAAACCGTTTCGGTGAACACTTTTGACCGCTACTGTAGGCACTTCCACTGTTGCGACTGCGTTGGTCGTCTGCACCCTGCTCACCAGCTGTGCTCTTTCGTTCCCCAAATCTGTCTTCACCACAGAACCCAATGTCCGTCTTGTAGACTTGTCCACCGTCCAGAAAAAGGAGACGATCACTCGGTCATATCTTTCCCTATTTCTCTATAGCCGTCTTCGCACCTCCGCTTCCACACCCAAGCGCTATGCTCGCACTTGACCGAACAAGGAATGCGTCTGTAAACTCTACAAAATTTTCAGGTTGGTGGTATTCCAACATCTCCCTACGGATAACTATATCCCTTTACAAACGAATTCCTTGACATCGAACGGCACCAAATTGCATATACTTTTCTACTGAAGCTTAACTACCTACTCCAAACTTCAGAAAGATGGCAGGGGCAAATTAATGAGAGCATCACGATCTATGGCACGTTGCAAAGCTGAAGAGGTGTATTACAGATTCGTCCTTAGGAAATCCCGATCCATGAGGCTCCGAGAATGGAGCGATGCAGAGCAAAAGATTGTTCCCTTGAAGCTCAGCCACTGCTCAGGACTTCTTCACAGTTGGAGAAAGGGCTCTGTTTTCGCATGAGAACTAGAAGGTTTCTGTGTCATAGTATAGCAAAATATTCATCAGATCAGCTTATACTAAGATCCTCCAAAACAACATTTTTGAAGCCTATCGAGATTACGAAATAAACCTAAAACTATTATGCAACTGAAAAGATTATACTAAAATTACCTCACTCTTGTTTTGATCAAGGGAGGGACAAGTAGCTGCCACATGTCGCTTCAATATTTCATTTTCTCGAATCAATCGCTCTATTTCACGTTTTTGATGCTCAATAATTTCCTGAAAATGAAACGATTACTGCTGATGAGCACTGATACTTGAGCAAATTTTTTGTTTATCTACAGACATACGTCTATCTTTAGTAATAAACGAACCAAGTGTTTCTGTTGTTCGTACGATGAACCGTTCCAATTCTCACGCACATTAGGAGATCTAAAAAACAGTTCAATAGCAAATTGATGAATAATCGTTCGTTTAATCTTGACTGTAATCCAAAGTATGCAGGAGCAAAGTTTCAGGGATGATCCTAGATCATAAACTTCGTTGGTCCAGTATCATCCCCGTTACATATTCCGCATCTAATACATAGCCGTAGTAGACTGATAGCTCTTAGGGCTCTTTCCAATTTCAGCTAATAAACAGTGAATTAACGTAGGTATTAGAATGAAATAATACGACAGGGAAAAGTTAGGTTACACTAAACAGCTATCACGCGAGAATTTCAGTGGATGAGAGATAAGCGAAAATTGGAAGCCTAGCGACATGCTACTGAACAGAGAAATCTAAACTACGTTGCTCCTTATGCAGGTCAATCTCACAAGAGTCGAAGGTTAAGGTAGATGTCAGACTCAGCGACTGTGCAAAGCCGTGCGGGTTGTGTCCTTTTTGATCGTATGGTTTGCGCTAATCGCCCCTCCCCACTCGTGGCTTCGGCACCGTGGCAGAATCGCAACGATTGCACGATCGCCAAGTCTGACACCCACCTGATTGTTTGATAAGGGCACTAACACCATTCTCTCACGGGAACACAATATATTAGGTGGCAGTTGCTTGTAATGTCTCTTGACTTAAAATCCAGATGGATAAAAAGTATGCAGCACTAATCTGTCACTAAAGAGTTATGGTCAAGAGAGAAAATTAGCACAACCAAAATATGAGCGCATGTCAAACCCTATGACAGCCAAGAATTCGCCGAATTACTACTGTTACAAGTTAGATAGGTTTTTAGAACGAGTGAAGAGCACTATGCGATTGATCCACTTTGTTCTTTTGTCGCATGCAGGCCCGATAGCAAGGGAATGGCCCTGCACAGCACCTTCCGTTTCATCCCATGAAAAATAAAAATTACCGATCCCAGTCGTCCGGAACCACATCGATCACAGTTGGTCTTAACATAATTGAATTCCGTGTAGCTCGGGGGTTTGTTCTGAAAAACAAGTAGGGATGTTTGTGTTTGTTTACACGCACAAAGCACCAGCCAAGGTACAAATCCCCGAGTTCTCACCTGGGTAGGCTGGTTTTACCACTAAGACTACTGCGTTGCGAATCACAATCAGGTGGAATGGCGTACACCTGAAAAGGTGCTTTCCAGACTTATTCATGATACAGGAACACTCTTGCTCGCGGAATCACTCACCGGCTGGTGTGAAACGCCGTTATGTAGGTCCGCATGATACGGAGGAGGGCTTAACCTTCGATAACCGCCTACTCCGGATGGGCCAGGGTGAATATCGGGGAATCCTGACGAACTGTTGTACATCGACGAGCTGGCGTTAAATGCAGGATTCGAGATGGATAGTGCTGTTGTTCGATCAATCGGTGATGAGGAGGAGGAGTTACTGCAAAGACAACTTCACTTCTACTACAATTAAAACAATGAAAGACAAACAGAGGAGGGAGTTAGGTACTACCTGCTCTGGTTGTTGCTGTGATATCCACTGGAAGCTGGCTGGCTGCCAGGTGGCGAGTCATCACAACGTCGGCGTGCCTTCCGCGCACGCGCTCGTTCCGAAAGTAACTGAAAATGAGGAAATGTCAATTCGATTACGGAAGATAACACAAGGGTCAATTGTCGCGTTCATGGTTTTCCGCGCGCTTTACAATAAGTCCTCCCCCCAACCTGTCTTACAAGGGAGGTCTTTCAGGACATGGGGCGCTTTTTTGTAATGGCTTTTCGCATGTTGTAGGGGCTTACGCGAGGAACACAGAACCATCATCCATTTTCCCTGACGCCTTCTGAAATGTCAAACAGTGGTGAAGAAATGGTCCACGTTCGATCCACGTGATGACTAATTTTTGTAATGTAGTTTGACGCCAGATTGACGCCAAATGGCGCCTTCGTCGAGAATAGATGTCATCGTCGTGTTTTGTAGCAATTTGGAGGCGCCCACACAGCGCCCACACAAATTGCAAAAATTTCTCATCACGGGCATTGAACTTTAGACCATTTTTCACCGCTGTTTTGACACCTGGGAGAGTTTAGAAAAACTGGACTATGTTTCTGTGTTCCTCACATGAGCCCCTATGACATTCAGAAAACCATTTTGAAAAAACGCCTCATATCCTGAAAGCTCCTCTTTGTTGGGAGGATCTCTATACAGACCCCATTACCGTTAGTATTGGGAAGGGAGGTAAATATGGCTGCTGAAGGAACAGCAGAGGCTCTGATTTTGTCTGACTCATTTTGTCACATTTATCAAAAACCCCGGCAAGCTTCTCTCATACAAGAACGACCACTTCAGCCTCTACCAAAACGACAACCCGTTCGAAAATTCGAAGGAATGGTGAACCTTGGTTAACTCAGACTCCCGATTAATCAAAAACGCAAACACGCTTCGTTCAAACTGTCCGAATGGATGATTAGCCCTGGATCGGATCGCACAACCTCGAATTGCCTAGATTTGAGTTCAAAAGTCGCTCACCCCTACAACTTCAGTCTCGCTGTCCGTATCCCTGGCATCGCCGCTGCTCGACGTCTTTTCACTGACATGACTACTGGAGGTGCCAGTTTCGCCACTCAGTCTTGTCAGCTGACGTGCAGAGCTCTTAAAAAATCACTGAGATTGAACATGTTGATCAAGGCTTAACTAGTTAGACATACATCATAGGACAAACAACAGAACAGTCGGCACCACATACCTGAAATGCTGTGCTGAGCACATAATCGTCGTTGGTAAACAGATGATGTGCGGGTCGATTACGAGTGATCACCGTTGCCTGACCAGTCGGTGGAGTGGAACGGTACGCTGGCACGTTCTCATTACGTGGCCTGGAAATGGATGAACGATTACCACACTCACAAAAAAGCGTTATTAAAGCATGACGGACCAACCTCAGAATTTGGTTAGGGCTATTCTCATAGTCACTGCTGTTTTGTTGGCAAACGGGTGATTGCATTACTCCATTAGCCGACATATGTGATCGACGATTATGTTCGTGTAAATTTAAAAGGATTTCTCGAAGTTCAGCAAGTCGTTTATCCGTGCTTCGAGCTCGTTCATGCACTTCAGGCGTCCATGCTTCTTCTAGGTAGGTGTTCAGAAGGCTCAAATCTTTGCCCATATCGATAATCACTTCAGTTGGTGGCCGCAACGATTGTCTAAAATCAATATTCGATTATTACATTCAGCCATTTAAATAAATCCAGTCCGATACAGGGTAGAAAGCCGTGAGCAAAGATCCGCTGGGTGAAGTTTTTCTGGTGCTGGGAAAAACTAAAGCCAATTATGGGAAAGCAGCCCCGAAACGAGATGAAATTATGATCTGAGACCGGTGTGATTTTTCTCTTTTGTTCATCATGGGTAGACGTGGTGCAGTGGCAAGTGGCGTTATTACTTACGCGCACGGTCTGGGGTTCAATTTACTGATCTCGCTCAAGCCCGGCAACTCTTCCATCCCACCAGGGTTGGTTAGGTGGTATCACACTTGCATGAGACGACAGAAGTACAGACTTGCGCTTGTCTGATCTGGTCACTGTCATTCCATAAGCCAAACCACATGCGATTGCCACTACGATTTTGAATGGAAATAGAAGCGCGGCACATCCCAAAAAGGTGTATCAGCTAGAGGCGTCATGCTTCTTACCCTTTACCAGATTATTATTGGCCAGTCGCATTTATGAAAAGCGATAAATGGACCAAGTAATTCAGCGTAGATCTGAGAGTGAAATCAGTTCTGATAGTTTATGTGAGTCTTGTGAAGGTAAGGAGTTCCCACATCAGCAAATATACCCAAGAAGCCCGATAAGATGAAGAGCACGACAGTTATTACGAACTTGTCCTCTTCTCGAGGGACTGGAGGATCGTGGAAGCCTACGGAAATGAATATTTCGAATCATCTCCATCTGAAAGTAGGTCTTCGTCAGCATCTCTGGATCTATCCGATATCAGCACGGCACGGCGGGCGACTCCTCAACCATGGGCAATTCGCAGGGGAAGAAGGAATACATAGGGAACCAAAAGCAGTTAATTTTGATTTCGCTATCACTGGTCGAAGGAAAAACGACCATTTAATCAGTTATAGCCCTAACTTTCAGTTCTTGAGTACATTCTGCTTTCCTTATCACAAAAGATGTGCAGCAAACAACCGAGGACGAGCAGACTTACCCAGTAGATATTCGCCGAAGAAAATCCTTCATTCGTTGCCACTCTCGTTCCACGAAACCGTTCATAAACTCCATGTAATGCTCTTTTCCACCGAATTTCGTAAAATTTGCCAAGTTCTGGAGAGTTTTGGCGATGAGAGTCAGATTTCTAGCCGTCACTCCGCTAGGATATTCCGTTACCTGGAATAAAAAATCTAAGCGTTTGAACCTCAGTCGACTAAGACCACTAGCGATGATAGACTAACCAGGTTGAACAGGCTCGGGCTCAGAATCGCAGGACAGAGGTATCGGAGGAATATTGATGAAGAAATCAGAGTGTCGGCCAGAGAGCTTCGCCCTTGAGATTCTAATCGGTCGCGTAGAGCACTGAATACCATGCGGAGTTCCATCGGAAAAGCAGAGGTGCTGAAAAATGAATGTTCAAAGAAGAAGGATCATAAAACACATATATAAGTAAACTTCTTACCTGCTGATAATCTTCTCCCAAGCTAATTCTACGAGTCTGGTGAGGTGAGCTCGATTCTTGTCCAAGGTCGAGGTGGATACACCGTTCAGTTTCAGCGGATCAACCTCACAGGATTCATTCGATGACAAAACATTGTGAACAAAGTCACCAAGAACTGACTAAAAGAAATGCGTTGCTTTGCTGGAGCCAGTTGTAGTGCGTTTGGCCCAATTATAACGACGGTTTTCTCACTTGCAAATACTCGTCGGCAATCAGTTTCATATAGGCCTCCATTGCTTTCGTGGCCAGCGAGTTTCCTCGAAACATCAAATGATCGTTGTCTAAATCAAAGCATTGAGCCAATCAAACAAAACATCCTGCTTCGACTTGTTCTAACCAACTGCTCGCACTTACCGAGGGAATCCACTTCCGACATGACTAGTTCACATAGAAAGTCGTTGGCGAGTTTCTGTTTGTGTAGCACACGGACAAGCGCCGTCGCTAAGTCCTCCTGAACCGTTTATATCAACAACTTCTTTGGCAGTGCTACATGTACTAACTGCATTAAACGTGAAGCTCTGCACACCTTTGCTCTAACGGAAAGCACCGGTTCCAGATGATTACATAGCGATAAGTAATTACACGAGAGGTAGTGTAGGAAGTCATCATAGGCACGCAATGGTAGTATGCTAATACTCTGCCAACGAGCCTGAACACAATTAATAGCAATCGATTAAAATCGGTAAAAGAGAACGTCGACGCACCTTAATTCGCACCGCCGGCTGTTCTTGGCTGGTGCTCTTTGTGCTCAATGCGGATGCAAGACGATTGCCCGTCTCACTCGTTGTTGTTACCGTATACCTGTAAATGAGAGTGAAATAGCAGACAGCGGGACGTCAATGATGAGGCAAGGATCCAGTGATGGAAACCTTGTTTTTGTTCAACCAGCTGATGGTGGTGATTCCTCGACGCATAAATCTTCGAATCTCCACCTAATGGTAGCGAAATTAGGGCGATCGGAAAACTACGTTCGTTCTGCCGCTCAACTACTGTAATCAACAACAAAAACAGAGCTTATCTCCAATTCACCTACTCCACTCACTTGCTACTCACTGAAACAAGCCATGTGACCTTGAAATGGCCACAAATTAGTGAATGGCGGCTGAGGTCGTGTGGGTACGACTAGGATCAAAATTAGAGCGAAAACGAAGACGGTCGAGGAAACCTGCCTATACCTGCAGTAATTGCCGAATATCGAGGCAACCCTCAGATATTTCGATTTTATTCGAATCGTCCACATGACCACTTTGAACAATGACGGCCGTGTTGCCGCATGATGCGACGGTACACATTCCACATCCTGCACGGTTGACACCCTGATCAGTTCCACGGTTTCTTCAGAAGGCATGCTCGTCACAGGCACGTTCTCTCATCAACGATCGTTGACCCTAACGTGGTCTATCGCGGTTCGCTGAGAGTGAACATGAATTGCACGGAAAAAAGCGTTCACGGTATGCATTCCATGCAGCGAAGAAGTAAGCTATAGCGTAATCCAAGTAGAGCCGCTGCCTCAGAGAAAGGAAATGGAGTAAGAAAACCAGAGAAAGGAAATGAAATAAGAAAACGAGACGGTGAATGATGTGTGAGAGAAGGTCGAAGAGATTCATTTGGAAGGTCGGGGAGAGGTATGAGTGGGAGGCTCACAGACGCACCGAGCGGGGGCGACGCTTGCGGTTGCAGTGGTGGGATGGAGCGATGCTGTTGGGAAACCGCGCCCAAATACAGTTTGACAGGCAAACTTCAACTTATGACACATCCTCCTAGAACGCCAATAATTACCCTCTACCTCCCACACGCCGAGGTGACAGTTTGAGCAGGAAGTGAACACCGATTTTGAGAGCGGAGGACGGAAGACGAGAAGGATTGGGCAGGCATCAGCTGCACAAAGTGGATGGAAAAAACGTGCCAATTATGTCATACGGAAAAAACAGGGCCAACGAAAACGAGAGAGAATACTTCCGCCTACCATTCTTATCTGTGGGTGACTCGACTGATCTATAATGTCATTATATTTAGCGATCAAATCAGTACTCTACTGACAACCCGAAAATGGATTTTAACATTCATAAATTAAAAAGAAGTAATAAGGGGGGGGGTGGGAAAGAGTTGATTCATATGAAAAGAACAACACTAGAATCCATCTAACTTGAAAAAGTCCCAAGTCCTTTGAAAAAGACGTATTCCTGGCTACCTTGATATACATATGTATTTACAACACAATGAAAAACGATGTACTCATCAATCGTTGTGAACGTAAATACTTCTGGAAGGACACGTGTAATCATTGCCTTTCTTACTGGAAAGTTTTGTAAAAAAAAAGGGCATGTCAGAGGGCTGGTTTCGAGAGTAGATCTGGAGGCAAAATAGTGAATCATAGCGAAGGTAAAGGGGGAATTTTTGAACTCCAATGCGAAGTCGGATAAAATGGCCTTTTTTCACGGAGCTCTATGAAATGTTTAAAGATAGCCCGAAAAATGAAAGGTCAAACTACGTGGAAAAAGCCATTTTACCCAATTCACAGAACAAACAAGAGAGTGTGAGTAATGAGAGTTGAGCACAAGAAAAAAAGAAAAAGGTTAAACATTGCTAAGTTGAGGAACCTTTGACTAGAATCGGAAGCCGAAGGGCGGGAAGGGCCGATTCATGTATACATAACTTTCATCGTTTTCTGCTCTACAGTAGGAAGAAACTAACCAGGAAAAAGGGCTGCAATTCTCTCACAGAATCAACTGACCGTTGTGGAATCCTCAACGAGGACCAGTTGTGATAAATGGAAACGACGAAGTCGTATATGGTTGGCTTAGTAGTGAATTTCTATGAGGCAGAAAAACGTATTTCCTTAAGGTCGTGAAAAGTTGTAAGATATTCAAAAAATTTTGTGAGAACTCTGTTATTTTTGCCATTTCGTAACTTGTCCACCATCCCCCTACGACGGCGTACTTTTGTGGGTAGAAAGTAGGACCATTACTATCGGAAGAGCCGTACATTATAAAAGGACCCTCCAGGAAGGAGAGGTCGCAACCCACTCCTGTAACACGGTGTGTAACCCTGACCAGTGGTGTACGACTACCGAATGGGAGCTTTCAGTAACTTCACAACGCCTGAGCTTGGCCCTGTGTCATCCCAGCTATACGTATCTTCCTTGCCTATATATTTAGCTGGAATCTTAGGTTCATAGTAGAAACGAGGAAGAATCGTGATGGCTGACATTCGAATGAAGTTTCGAAAGACGAGAAAAGAAAAAATCTTGAACTACTAGAAACCAGAAACGGTAAACCATGGCTTCAGCATGGACAAATCCAGTTCTCAATTTCAAACCCTTTCCAAACAGGATATGGAACGATTAGAGTAAATGAGTATAATAGACGAAAACTTCGATGAGTGGGGCTTATCAGAAACATACGGCAATGCGAACGACTCTGCCATAATATTTCTTGGACACGGGAAATAGAGGGATTTACTCTTCTTCAAATTCTTCTTGTTATGGTTTCATTACTAGTCCACGAGTGGAAAGACCACTTAAGGAATTCGAGGACAACGTGGTTCAAATCGCCCATCCTGTACACGAACACAGAGAGAGTTGGATCACTGCCAGATGGTGTTGCGTGGGTGCAGCCACGAGTAACTACTATCACCCTAGTGGCCATCTCAGATCAACGACTTTAACAAAGGATGGAACAGCTGTTTGCAGCGACACTGAAGTCCGATCAACGACCGACGAGTGTCGTCGGATGTGTGCAATATACGATTTGAACGAAAAACGCAAAACAGATGTCCATCGTTGTCACGAAGTTTCACGCGACTGATGGTACTGCCTGCTGGAGGTACTTACAAGCTGCCAGATCACACAACCCTTGTGAGAAACACCTCCTACCATGACCTCTTACACGCAGTGATTCTTCCTCAGCACAATGGAAAGAAAACCGATTGAATGGTCGCGAACCAATGTGCAACACAACAGCTTACCATCGTTCCACTGGATGCCGACTACTGAGTTGTTCAATGGCAATCAATATGTATCCAATCAATGTCGAGCGCTCCTTTTCTTTTTTGGATCACCTTCACGATACAAATTAATGCAAACTTCGTCCATCTTTTGGAGCATTCTGAAACAACACACATACAAAACATTCGGGAAAGAGTATTGCCGAGAAGTATATAGCCAGAAGAAACCATATAAAATAACAGACGTGAAATCAAAGTGTTCTCCCCAGAAGACGTTGTCCACCAGTGGCTTTGATGACGTACGGGCGTATAACGTTTTATCCAAGCATAACTCACAATAATATCTAAAATAATACTACTGTTTAGATTTCTATTCATGTTACCTATTTATTACAAGTTACCTTCTCTTAGCAGGTACTCCTTTTGCTTCAAGAACCCATAATTGTAACGCGTTCTCGACACGACGCTGGGCGTCACGCCGGGGGTTCATTGTGCGGCGTAAACTATAAATGAAACTTTATAAGCAGATCAAAAATATCCTTTGCCAAGGAAAAAACAAACTGCAAAAATGTTGCGCAGAAGCAATATAAAAAAGGTCTTAAAATGAGAGGAAAAAGTGAAGAAGAGCAGAACAATTTGAGCGAGAAATATACCACATGTATGTGGGACCAACAATATTGGGTTGTTCCATGAATCGTTTCAAAGTACTTCGAAATGCTCGATTTCCCTTCATATTTATTCTGGAAGACCCGTACGCTTGCAGATCACTGATTGTAACGTGGTAGTGTAGAAAATTTGCACTTTGCACGTCATAATATTGAAATCATATATGAAGAAAGCCAAAACAGTTGCGCCAGCTGTGAATCCAGTCACAGGAATACCTTCTGACCAATGCTTTCGCAAATTCAAACGTAGCACCACGACACTATAGCAGGTGGTAAACCTCGGCCAAATAGTCTGTCAGGGTATGAGATAGAATTGGTCCAAGGCATGCCCCAGGATTACATTGGTACGGCTCTTGTATTGTGCGAAATGGGTCGGCAGTAAAGAAAAAAAGGAAAAGAATCCGTCGAAAACGCTTAGGTTAGGAGCTCACTCACCTTCCTAATTGGCTGCGCTAAGGGAATGAGAGACAAAGTGCGGAGGGGAGTATGAGGCGAGAGAGCGCCAGGCAAAAGCGTGATTAGAAGAAAAAATCTGCAGCTTTAGCAGCTTGCTTTGTAAGGCCAGAGCGCTATTGTCGGTCGTTCCCGTGCATAGGAACACCACATTTATGATGGTTCTGTAGGGGACTATGCTACAGACCGAAGGGAAGCGTTCCCACGAGCTCTGCCTGGGTTGTGCCTTCAAGAAGCTGATGACCATGTTGTGCGCAATCCTCACAAGAGAAACAATAAAAAGTCAACAAACATAAGATCAGCGCTGCAACAAAAAAGGAGTGTTAAAAGGTCGGAAGAGTTGTCATGGATAAGTTCCACCTTAACCAGCTTCGATCTTATTTCCTTTGCTTGACTAGCCTAAGACAACCCAGCACACTTTTTTTTACGGGATCTTCAACAACCCATGCACCCTTGGAAATTCAATCGCTCTGATTTGCAGTAGTACTTTCTGAATCAAAGAATTGACAATGAAGACGATTCATTACAGCATTGTCGGACCACTGTTAACTTTGCATACTTAAATGATTATTAGTCTGATTGAAAAACTATTAAGATCACCAAACTGCAAAAATTGGTGCGAGTCTGTTAGTAGAACAAGTCAATAACTGAAACTTTGCAAAATACTAAGAGGCTTTGTAGGTTTAGCGGTTAGAAGCGCCAGTGTCAAAGGCTAACACAGCGCGAATGCTGTTGTCAAGCGTGATACGTGAGAGCCACGATGCGCCATTAGGTAATATGCCGATGAAAAGGCCAGGTGGTGGCGCCAGGGACCAACCGACCGATCACGGTTTCCCATGTCCACATGCAAACAACGACCCCACAAATGTACACAATTATCCCACCAACCATCAGGTTGGCGCTAGCCTGGCGTTCGAAAACGCGATTGAATCCGAACAAAAGCGACGAGACATGTATAGCCACACTGAGATGTTGAAGCGCCTTGAGATTTACTATGTTAAGGATAACTAAGGCCAAAATGGTCAAAAGGTAGTGATGGTAAAGGTCAGAAGTGTGCGGAATGATCGGCAACCTTTCATAACCTCTGAGCCTCACCTCCAGCTTCGGCGTGAAGTAGAACTGAACCTTGTCATGGAGAAGAAGCTCGCCACAACGTGTGCGAGGAGGAGTGAGACCGAGCCAGCCGTGCTATGTGAGAACACGAACTCTCACAACAGCGTCAAAAAACGAAGAGGCCGGCAAAGAGGTATGAAACACAGGGCGGCAGGGGGCTACGAGGCTTCCAGCCATATAATCACAGAAAACTATGCGACTGTAAATGACAAATCACAAAAAGATGGTGTTGGGAGACAGTAAACCGGAACTTCTATTTATTAACAGCACAAAAAGCGGCGATGTTCAATTATCACCTCGGTCCATCCAGTCCCTCACCAACAGCAGAAGAAGCCACTTTTAAAATAAGAAATCAGATGAGGCTAGCATTTCCATCCTTACATTGTAAGAAGTGGTCCAATCCAATCAATTCTCCCCTCATGTTAAAATTTTTTTAGACCTCACCAGATGTCAACCTTTTTTCTTTTCAATTCAATATCCTACAAAATCAAAGCGCTGAATTAGCGAAGGGGACGGAGGCGATGGTTTTTTCTTCGGCCGTACCCCTCACTCGAAGCGCTGACCGAGTGTGGGAGCGGAAGTGGTTGTTTTCGGCCGGACAATTTACCCGAAGCGCTGACCGAGGGTAGGAAGCGGAAGTGATTGTTTTCCAGCTGGACATCCCATTCCATCCTTACTTCCACCTGTCCTACCAATCGATGAGTAACGACGCAGCACATGGAGGAGATGCAATGTAATGTACAATGCTGCAGGTGCTACTCTCAAGCGACATCACGTAGAACTATCAGTTAAGAAACAGTCAAGGAAGTAAATTTGAGCAGCTGCAACTCTTACAAGGGAAGTCTTTCAGGGCAAGGTGCGGTTTTCGGAAACGGTTTAGTACATGTTGTAGGGAAGCATGTATGGACCACAAAGCCATGTTTCGATTTCGCTGAACGGTTTTAGTAGCACCAAAAAAGTGGTGAATAACACCCTTGATGGTTCAATCCCCCGCGACGACTAATTTTGCAATCAATTTTGGCGGCCACTTGTTGCCTTCAAAATGGTTCTGACAATGAATTTGACATCTGGTTATGATATATAGCGTGATTTGGCACCAAACCGCAGGCGCCAACTCAAATGCAAAGTTTAGCCCCCACGGGGGATCGAACCTTTAACAGTATCTTATGCTTCTTTTTTGGTACTGCTATGACCGTTCAGCGAAAACGGAACGTGGTTCTGCGTTTCCTACATGCATCCCTACAATATGAACAAAACCATTTTGAAAAAGCGCACCTTGCCCTGAAAGACCCCCCCCCCTTGTTAGTGCCCTCAAAAGGAGAGCTGGCGCTTTTCACAGAACGCTTCAACAAGGAATTCTGATATTGTTTTATCCTTGCTGACCCTTTGCTTTTTTTCTCAAGAGTATACAAAGATCGCTAAGATAAGCCATGTAGAGATGCGCCGTGTTGAAGGGCTGCATAATGCAGCTAATTTTCCGGAGAACACGTATAATTGCAGTCCTACGTTCAGCCAACTACTTGGCATGGAGATGCTGATTTTCTTTCGTAAAAACCTTCCGAACAACATCATAAATAGCTGGTCAAAGGATAAAGCATCCCAAGTGGCAAATGTAGCGTAGGACCAGTTGCGAAGGTCGCAGTGAACTCGGCCTGAACTAACTTTGAGGGAGTCTTAAAGGAATCTTTGTCGCGGAAAATTCATGCACTCTTTCCTAACATGAATATGTCAGTTGTGATCACTGGAAATAGCACACAAAGTTTCACGCATGAAGATACGCTTCCTTAAGAGAAACAAACGTACAAAAACTACACGTTATGGACCACCGAAGGACCAGTAGGCAGAGCCAGGCGAGGCATGGAAAGAAGACGGCGTTTGGCCGGCTACGTACCAGGCGACGCAATGAGAGAATCGGGTTAAAGCGCGCGATTTCGGAGAGTGGAGACAAATCGATCGATGGAATAGGATGGAGTAGAAGTGTAAGATGTGAACGCAACGAAGCAGAGGGCCAGAAAGAGCTTCTAGTGAATGCACTCCAAGAACCGCGTTTGAGCATCTCCGTCGCCAGCATTCGTGAAAGAGGTCCGTAGGCAATTCGAACGCGTAGCAGCCTTTTCGAGTTTTCGAAGTTCTAATCAAAACGAAAGCAATGCTTCGGTTCTTTTCACTATTATCGTAGATAATGGGTCTCAAGCCAGTCATTTATGGCTGAAATAGAATCATGATTTTTCCACGCAAGATTCCTTTAAGGAATCTTCCAGGAAGAAATGAAAGAGTAGCAGATCAGAAAGATGTGTTTTGAAAAGACCTCTGAGAACAAGGCCACGAGCAGTCATGAGGTTAGTGCGTCATGAAATAGGATCTTACTGGTATCTACGTAACACGGAGAGACATCCAGGACAGAAGAAAATGGTGACGTCTGAGAATCTCACAATGGCGCGGGACTAATGCTGAGGAAGACAGAGATGATGGCAACTGTAAAAAAGAAGAAGACCGGGCACGGAAAGGCGATATGTTGACTCGTGAAGTTTGAAACTAGATTGAGATTTGCTCCATTCAACAGATACACAGTACCACAGATACAGCTGTATGACCACCTACCTTATGAGCGCGCTGATGTTGAATTTTCGCACAAAACGATCTTGAGAGAAACAAATAACCCCTATTGACCAACAAATTTTTAGAAATTGCTGAAATGAGTTCCCAAGGTTCGTTCTTGTCTTGCTCCATGAAATACGTTAGTAGTTTACACCCTGTTGAATGATCCTTGTAGGTTGAAATAGTTTGGACTGACAGGTTCCTAAATGGCTCTCGCTTTTTGCAGGCTCTGAAGAAGGTGAAAGTACCGAAACGTCAGCCAACAAAGTTATTGCGATTCTTTTTGGGAGCTCAATATTGAACTGTCTTATCTAATAACACCCCAAGACTCACACAGAGTCGAACCTGGACACTACTGAGTTACCCACTTCCAGAAACCCTAATTGTGAGGTTTTCAAACGACATTTAAAGTAATTATGCAAAGTAAGGGATCAGCGAATCCAAATTTCAGAAATCCAATATGCTTTTTTTCACAAAGCTAGAATAGAAGCCATTGAACAATTCTTGAGATCTTTTCAAGAAGAAGCCGCTTCAAATTTTGCAATCTTACGGCGCCACGTGGCAGCTTCTGTAAGAGACATTGCTATGGAATTCAGAAATACAATACCTGACAGATCGAAATTGATTCTACGTATAGATACAGCATTTATATTGAACATAT